TGATGTTCTTATTATCTGTGGTTTTTCTTCTTTTCTGGGTAATAAAGTGATCTATGAAATAGCTAAAATATTAGAAAAGCAGGGTATTACTATATTAAAATCAATATTTTCTAAACATCCTGACAACAATGGTAATAAGGTGCTTGAATTAACTTGTGAATCAATTCTATCAGGTTTATGTAAGTTGACATTAGAGCTTTTGTGATTATTAAACTTAATGTTTAGAGTTATATCCTGACACAAAAGATAAATTGCAGATGTACTGAAGCCAGAACAGACAACTTCTAAAGAGGCAGCTTCATGATAAGGTTTAGAGAATATATCTTCAGATTGATTATTTTTTATTTTTGTCCAGGATGTTTATGTAACCATGATCAATATTATAAAAAGTTTTAATCCGTTCAAAACAACAGTTGTCGCTACACCTCGTTCACCACTACTCGGTGTAGTTAAGGCAATTTACAAAATATTTGAATACTTTTATTTGGAATTAGCATGGTTTTGTCAGGATATTATGCCCAAACGAGATCTTTAAATGTTATAACTTTTTTTACTTAAGGTTTTTATAATATTTAAAGAAACTTTTCTTTTTTATATATAATTTTCAAAATTTTACTACCTGTAATAATGTATCTAAAGAACACTATTTTTGAGTCTTTAGATCAATACCGCTCATTGGCATTAACATGAATTTAGTTAAAATCTTTTTTTAAAAGTTACTTAATTTACTACTGATCCTAGTTCTAATCGGTTCTGACTTATATTAACTATATATAGTTGTCAAAACACAATATTTCTATCAATTTTCACAAAAAATACTGGAATTCCGACCAAGAAAGATCTTATAATTATAAAAAGTTGCCATTAAACGATCAGAACAGATTATTGTTAAACTATAATGTTCATTTTGCCTAAAAAACGTATTAATAAAAAATCTTATTGAAATTTTGACGACCGATTAAATAAAAATTTGAATAAAAAATCTTATTGAAATTTTGATTGACCGATTAAGACGATTTAAAAAAAAAATATTCCACGGTCTGGGTTTTTTCGCTACAAACATTTTTGTTTTATGATACCGCAAATTTTATTTATTTAATTTTTTTCGCTTTTTGATAATTCACAGACCAGACTATTTAACGGAAATATGTCGTAGTCAACAAAATATCATACAGACTTTATAATATTTTTAAAAGTGCCTTAACTACGCCGAGTAGTTATAGAAGAAACACAATGTTTTCCTTTTATTGTTATATACTATTTTCCTTTTATTATTATAACTAACACATGCTTTATGAATAGTTCTAATGCCTGATTCATCACAGTTAAAAACTTGATGAGGTTTAAACATGTACCTTTTCATAACAACTTCTAGATTATTGAAATAAATGCTCACAGAACTGATGTTTAAACCATAAACACAATTTAATGACAACCCTTGAGGCTTCCTGATTGAAAGGTATAGATGTCTCTTTAAAAACCCATTTAAAAAATCTCTTTCTGCAACACCATTATATTTATTAAATGGATGGATTATTTTGAATTTTTCAACATACTCGGAACCATCTTAACATTTTATTGTTATTTTTTCCTTTTTTTACTGACTGATTAGCACGTCCGTTCACCATAAAAAACCATGCAACATCAAAGACAATTATATTATTAGAATTGAAAGTTTTTTTGTTCTGAAAATCAAAAAAAAAATTTCACCTAGGTTGACGCGCAACTATTAGTAGTTTAATTACGTTGCAATATTTTATGACTACCCCAAGTAGCAAACAATATTGGCGTAATATTGGTGCGATATTGGGTATCTTGGCTAATCTTGGCCAAGATATTCGATATTACGCGTTATATTGTCAAGCAATATAACGCGTATATTGGCGTTATATTGTCAAGCAATATAACGCCAATGTTGTCTTACCAATATTGGCTAACAATATTGCGCCAATATTATTCCATTAACGTTTTACTAAAATTGTTATGCCAATATTGGCAAATAACAATTTAACATATGTAAGACATTGAATGATTATTTTTATGCTGTATTTGAAGTAGAGCCGCAAGGACCTCTACCAAGTTTTTTAAACCGATCTCCTGTCACTTGCGACAGCATAATCGATTTCATTACATATGAAGAAGTTAAAAACAGACTGCTTAAACTTGATCCTTCAAAAGCAGTAGGTCTTAATGGAATCCTTCCTGAGTCTTAAAAAATTGCGCAGAAGCTTTTTCAATACCTTTAACCATGTTATTTAAATCTTCTATTTTAACATCCTTTGTTCCAGATCAATGGAGGAAAGCAGAAGTAACACCTATTTTCAAATAAGGAAATAAGTTAAAAGCAAGCAACTACCGGCCCGTTTCCAAAACCTCGGTACCCTGCAGGTGTTGGAAAGTTTAATCCACAATTTAACTATGCAGCACTGCGTCAAAAACAACCTTATTACCCCAGCTCAGTTTGGCTTCGTCAAACACAAGGGGTGTGCAACAAACCTATTAGAATCGCGGGATATTGTTACTGACGCCATCAACCAGGGATTTACGGCAGACGTAATTTATACAGACTTTTCAAAAGCGTTTGATAAGGTACTGCACGAAAGACTCTTATATAAACTAAAGGCTTATGGTATTCACGGTCAACTACATAACTGGATAAGAAATTGGCTAACAAATAGAGAACAACGTGTCAAAATAGATGATTCATTGTCTCCATGGAAAAATAGTTTAGCGGAGTCCCTCAGGGTTCGGTTTTAGGACCACTCCTTTTTGTGCTCTATATGAACGATTTACCAGACTTAATCATTATAGGTGTTATCAAGTCAGAAAAAGATGCACTATGTCTTCAAAAAGATCTTGACACTGCTGTAAACTGGTAAAAAAATTGGCTTATGCCATTTAACATTGAAAAATGCAAAGTTATGCACATGGACGAAAAAAAAATAAGCCAAACTATTTGTATACAATGGAATCACAAAATGGTCATTGAAAACAACTCGAAACCACAACATAAGAATGCGATTTGAGAGTTATAGTTTCCAATAACCTTAAAATGAAATTACAAGCTGAACACGCAGCTGCAGCGGGAATTAGAGTGCTAAGGAAATTTAAAAAGGGATTCAGAAGTCGTGGTTTAACTCTTTGGCGTTTTTTATATACTACCTATATCCGACCATTATTAGAATTTGCTACCCCAACGTGGTCTCCTCAGTTCATAGGAGATATAAAAACAATTGAAAAAATTTAGCTTCGAACAACAATGAACGAGCCGCTAAAAAACATTGAAACATGAAGAAAGACGTACTTTTTTCACTAGTTTTTTCAGTAGTTAAAAACTTGAACTCCTTAACAACTACTACAGTAAACGCACCATCACTCAATTGTTTTAAATGTAGAATTCGATAGTACGATTTATTCATCCAATTTGGCTGGCGCAGCTATAATTGCAAATACTGTCAGAAAAGAGGGGTTATTGTCAGCCTCTCTCCGTCAATAATTAGAATATGCAGTTTAAATAAATTCGTACCACGAACTGTTTTTACTGTGCGATTTTAATAATATTAAATAAATATACATATATTTTCGTATTGGTTTAATATGAAACAGTTATATTGTCCAATGTTGACATTTTTACATATTGGTACGCATGCGAAACATTATGGAATACTCATAATGTCCTTTAGTTTTGTTAAATGTAAATAGTAGCATCTTTTTACATAAACAGACATCCTTATGTTATTAATTTTTTTACTTAACCAAATAAGAGTTCAAAATAAAAATTTTAAGTTATAAAAAGAGAAGAAGTAGGAAAAGAATTTCTAATTCAACATTTACAGAGTGAATCAGGAGAAGAAGTGTTGATAATTTGTTTTGAAACAGATTGTATCACGAGAAGAAGTGGTAAGAGTAATGAAATTCTTTTATTCAACACTTACGGATTGAATTACGAGAAGAAGTGGTTGTAATTTATTTAAAATATAGTGCATCACGAGAAGAATAGGAAAAATATTGCTATCCTTGCGGCGAACGTGACGTCACTTTAACTAACTAAACGGCTACCATTATGGTATGGGGGCAAACAAAGCGAGAAAGAATGCTGTGTTTTTAATTGTTCAATTAATGTTAAAAGTCATCCGAACTTGAGTTTTTATATTTTGCCTGCTGATCCAAAGAGAAGAAAATTGTGGTTTTATGCTATATATAGAATTGATTCATCTTGAAAAAATAAACTTTGGTCGCAAAACATGTCTAAGTATGCTCAAAACATTTTGTATCTGGTAAGTTTTGTATTTGAATCGTCAAAATATTTGAACAAAAATTTTTCTTGAACTTATTAAGTTTTTTTCGTTTATATACTTTTATTCATAGTAAGTATGTTTCTCTTTCAGGAAAAAAAGAACATTGTCAAGATGCTTTTCAAAATTAACACATTTACTGATAGAACTATGTTCTATCAGTAAATATGTTAGGTACTAAAAAAATATATAGTGAAATCATCCCTCCAACATAATTGTTGTCGCGAAATGAAAGGAGAATAAATAGATTAAACAATTCACTTGGTATATACTATATAGTATTGACATATACTATATAAACAACAAGATAAACTATATAGTATACCTTTATCTATATTAGGTACGTGGACTGATTTTTTTTAATTGAGGATATACTAGAATGTTATATATCATTAGAAAGCCCTTCAATTATGTATTTTAATGGTGAAAAAATTATTAAAAACGAACAATTTAAAAAAAAGTTATGACGTTTTTAGTAGCAAATTTTCGATATATGGATTTCTTGAAGAAACTGGTTCCAAAATTAATTTTTTTTTCACTGAAATTGTTATAACTTTGTCAAATCTTACCCAAATGCCTATACCTTGGTATCAAAAGATAGATGTAATAGTAGGCTATAAGTTCATATAGTTTTATAGATAAAAGGGGTGTCTAGAGGGCCAGAGGGGGTATCGGAACACCATCGTAACCTTAAAAAAATGCAAGTTTTTCACACGAAAGTGTATTTTTCTGATAAAATTTGTTATCTTAATACACAAAAAGTTGTTCTAATTTGCTTCCATTACATTTCCAAATATTAGTGGTATATTTTAGATTAAAGGGTGGATGCTCTTGTTACGTTTTAACACCCTCGTAGTGAAATGTTACTATCTTATAAATATTTGAACCTGAAAAACAACTTTTTAACACATTATTTTATGTTAAAAAGTTTAAATTATATTTTTTTACATAACAGCATATACAAGTGGTGCATAAATTGAAATTAGGGGCGGGACGATACCACCCTTAGCGCCCCTCCCCCTTCCTCTCAGTCTTCTCCAACCTAAAAAAAAATGTTAAAAGATATCTGAAAAATGGTTTTAAACTGAGTTTATTTAAAAAGAGAAATTAGTATTCAAGATTATTTTACCATGTTAGTAAGGGGAGGGGTGTGTGCCACACCCAACGCCCCCCCTCCTCTTATTATTTGTACTTTAAAAAAATGTAAATAAAAATTTCAAAAATGTCTTTGTGTAAAAATTGTGTAAAATTGTGTAAAAGGAGAGACATAACTTTACTCATCTTACCACATTACAAGATGCAAGTTTGAGTATCCACCCTAAAAATTAACCAAAGTTTTAAAACTTATATTTTAAAAAGTTTTAAAATACAAAATATATAAATTTATGCCTTGGCTTTTAGTAAATGATATTATTTAAAATTTCAATGAAACTAAGTAAATCATTTTTAACAATAGACACCACGTGAAGGTAAGCCAGAGCCTTCTATAGGCACTATATGTAAGATCAATCTTTTTTCACTTCATCCGCAAACATAGCTTCACTTTTTTTTGTACCAATTATTCTTAAGAAAAAAAAAAATATATATATATATATATATATATATATATATATATATACACACGCAAAGAGTTAATATACCATAGGTTTTATTAAATTTTTTGAAAAGTAAACAAACAATATATAAAAATTTGTTAATTATTAATAACATTATAATAAAATATGTAAAAAAAAATCTCATACATACCTTCTACAAACAAGTAATGGTTACATAAATATAATATTTAGGAACTGTAAACATAAGTTAAAGTGGTTTAAAATCAAAGAATTAAACTGGTCTAAAATCAAATAATATTTCTTAACTCAAAAAAACAGTATATAAACTAAAATAAAATAAAGAATAGTAATTAGGTATGCAAAAGATATTTAACATTTATCAACTCAATAAAACATTACATATAAATTTGAAACTACATTTAATAGGGGCTATGAGAAAACCTTAAAATCTCAAAAAATCCTAAACGCATTAAAAAGTCTATAACTATTTATAGTTACAACTTTAATACTTTCTACACTACAACTTTTAATCACATTGAAAACATACAAAATAGATCCCTTGCAAACTTTTACACCTGTCAATGCTTTATTTTTAAATCATTTTGAGAAAGATTTAAAATAAATAAATCAAATGTTAATAATTGTAAAAATTGGGACAAAATGGAAAACAAACTTGATAATGTTATATATTTAATTAAAAAAAAAACAGGAATGGTGGTGCCTAGTAATAGTGGATGCCACCATTCACGACAAGGCCGCCACCATTCCATCTTTGCCCACCACCTCCTCCACGGCTTCCTCTTCTACTGTAGCTCCCAGCACTCCTGTTAGGAGGATGATAGGCCCAGCTGAATGATTCACCATCATTCCCTCCTAACCGGACCCACCGCAAAAATGACCGATAACTAATCGGTCCAGGGTGCTGGACCCTAAATCTGTAGTTGTTATGGAGGTTGTGGGACTAAAGGTAAAATTTTTTAAAAATAAAATAACAATTTACTTGCTATCAATAAGATAAGCATATACATATTAGAAACAATACTTTTACACATGTATATTATGCATAAACATATTAAAAAATAATAGTTTATAAACTTACCAATTGTAGCAGCTGAAGATGTAACTAAAGGTTAACAAAGTTGAAATAAAAATAAATATTGTGATTGCCAAGAAATGCATAAACATATTGAAAAGTGAAAGTTTGTAAACATACCAATAATTGCAGATGTATATGGAACTAAGTTAAAAAAAAGTGTAGTAAAAAATTAATATTGCAATAGATCCGAAATACATACATACATGAACAGGTTTTTTGAAGGATGCAATAAAAATATTTTTAAGCTTACCACTCAATGCAATTGAGGATGGAACTAGAGCTAAAAAGTTTTAATAAAAAATAAATCTGGAAGTGTCAAGAAATGCAAAAATTAAAAATTATTAATTGCTAAACTTACCACTCATTGCAGATAAAGATGTTGCTAAAGATAAAAAAAGTAGTAAAAATAAATAAAATAGGCTGGGTAGATTGAACTAAAAATAACAAAAAAAAAAGTGTATAATTACAACAAAACACTATGAAAAGAAAGAAATCATGATTCTGTGGAAGATGCAACAACTGTATTAACATAATGAAAACTAACAGTGAAAATATATTAATAAACAACAAGCTAACATTAGGAATGGTTTTTCACTTTGTTTATATATTAATTAGGTTATATTGGTTGTGGTTATATATAAAATATTTGATTTATACTTACGATATCTCAAAAAGGCTTCATAATGTGCAGCAGGATCTAAACAACATGTAAACAATAGGCATGCTTGTATTATGATTTAACTAATAATCCATAGATAAAGAAGTATACAATCCAAAAACAATTAAAGATGATAATAAGATGATAAGTTTTATTATATTTGAAAATTACTAACAAGTCTTTTGCAAGGAATAAACCAATGAATTATCTGATTTGTATGTTGTGTCATAATAAAATTGACAACAGATACTATTAGTTAACAATACATTCAAAAGCAAAGTTTTAAATTGAAGCATTAATCTTCTTTTTTATGTAACATATAAAAACAGATTAAGAATTAATCTGTTTTTATATCATATAAAAACAGATAAATTATATGTTACATAAAAAAGAATTTTAAATTAGAAAATATTCATAAATGATTTATGAATATTTTTTGTTTTTAAAGAGATCCCAAACTCCCCACACATGTTGTGTTCATATTAAAGATAATGTTAAAAAAAAAGGTTTGAACCAAATTTTTTTGATTAAAAATAAATAATGAATGCATACCGTGAAAAACAAATGTTGTTGTTTTTGCCAAAGCTCGTCTTCTCCATTTTTTTGAACTAATCGGAGTCTTCAAATTATGCGTCGCAATCTACAGACTTTGGCAATTCCTTTGTAGCGCGTTTAATTCATAAAAGTTTTAGTATTTGACGTCACGGTAGACTTTTAACAAAAGAAAAGTGTAATTAAACTAAGCTGCGATTTTCTATTGTAGTATTTTTTTAACTCACAGCAAAAAAAATTTATTTGTATTATTTTTCCAAACATCGCAAAAAAAAAATTTTGTAAAAAGTGAAAACAATAAATTACTTTTATTTTATAGGAGCAACTTATTTTTTACAGATATCTTAATAATTTTTAGATTTATATATCTTACTTATATTTCTTTAATTATTTAAATTAAAACAAATATTAAAGCTTTACTTACCAATCTCATGATTTTCATACGAGTATTTTACATTATATAGAACGTTTTATATACGGTCTCTTGTTTTTGCGCAAGAGAGCGTTGTATTATATATTCTGATTCTTAATTATTTTTATTTAAACAATGGGAACTATTTTCTAACTTCTCTGGTTATTTTTACGCTATGACAATTTTTTGTTTTCCCGTTGAAAAAAAGTATTTCTTTCATAACTAAAACAATTACTTTCTTAAACTGACTGTATTAATTAGAGATATTTAATGAACAGGTAACTTTTTTTATTATAAAAATTTTTTTTTTCACGCTGATTTAATTTAAATTGCTAAATTTGCTGAATTGGATACGGATAAAAAGGAAATACCATTTTATTTTACATTTGATTTTTGATAATGAAATTTTTAAAATGTCAGCAACTCCATACCAATTAGAACCTGTTAAGATTATGAAAAAAAAGTACAAGAATACACTAAGCAATACAGTTGACAGTAGTATCAGATATGAAAATTCGTGAAAGGATTTGTGAGATCCTGAATTTGCATTAAAAGTACAATGAATTGCAACACAAGTCGGCACTATAAATTTTGATTATAAGTTTACTGTTCAATATTTTGTAACCATCAAATAAAAAACATGAAGTTTGTATATTTTTGTCTGTTTTATACAACTAATATTTAACAAAAATACGGGCAAATTATTAATAAATAACGCAATAATTAACTCATTTATATAAGGCAATAATTCAAGATAGAAGGTAATTTAAATTGTTAAAATGTCATAACGCGCATTAAAAAACATATTATATTTGGTATTTCCAAATTTGTGTCGTAATTAGCATTTGTCTCTTAACATGAAAAATTAAAAAATTTTAAAAACACAATTAACAAATACAAATTTTCAAGCAATTTTCTCTTCCAATTCTCATTTATTCAAAGAAAATTTACTATTAAACTTTTATTTCTCTCATCTAAAAAAAGAACGAGTGAAGCAAAAAATATATATGTTCTATAAAACTCTTATTCATTCAAAGTTTAATTGCGCAAAATTTTTCTTTCTCTTTTGTTCTACTCTTTTATAAAAAGAGCGCGCGATGAAATAAAAACTTTTCTTTTTTAACATAATAATTATAGTTTGTGATAAAATTAAATTAGAAATAAATCAACAATGAGCAAAGCAACGAACAGATTAATCTGGAGCTGTTTTGATATTTAAGAAAATAATCAACATAAACAACATTACCAACAACAATTACCAAATAATTAACACAATCTCGCATAATTTTAGGGGCATTTTATTTTTATTGCTTAGTATTTCTAAATAATAAGTAAATTTAGTTCAAGTTAATAATTAAATATTTACAGTTGCAATAGCATAAAGAAATGGTGTTTATTACTGAACTTTTTATTTAGTTATTTATTTTTTACCTACATTTGTTATAAAAAACTTTAGAACCCCCATCATTAAAATAATTTGTTTTAAATATATTTCGACGTGATTATTCAAACTAATTTTTTTCGTTTTACTTTCCGAACTTCATGCAAAGCAAATTGAAACGAAATATCGTCTAACCAAATAAAAAAGCTGTTACTAATTTTATACGGGTAATTAATGTAAAACATTTTTTGAGATAATAAATATTCATAATTTATAAACATTAAATTTATGGCGCAATAACAATTTATAGCAACGAACCAGCATAAAATATTTAAGGTTTTTATTATCTTTTTACATATTTAAAGTAGAAAAATAAAAAACTAAACAAATAATCAAAAAAACTTTGACTAAAAATAAATAAAAATATTTCTAGAGTTTCATTTGTTAAAAGTCTACCGTGACGTCAAATACTAAAACTTTTATGAATTAAACGCGCTTCAAAGGAATTGCCAAAGTCTGTAGATTGCGACGCATAATTTGAAGACTCCAATTAGTTCAAAAAAATGGAGAAGACGAGCTTCGGCAAAAACAACAACATTTGTTTTTCACGTTATGCATTCATTATTTATTTTTAATCAAAAAAATTTGGTTCAAACCTTTTTTTTTAACATTATCTTTAATATGAACACAACATGTGTTGGGAGTTTGGGATCCCTTTAAATAGTTATTATTGATATCATTATAAAAAAAACTAAACTTACTATCTGTTATAGATTCAATAAAACTTCTGTCAGAATTCATTTTTTATTTTAATCTAATAATAAAACTCAAAATAATACGATATTAGGATTTGTATAGTCGGCCCTATCCACTCCCGTATTAAGCTTAACGAAAAAAACAACAGAAAAACCAAAATTATGTACCAAAAGTCCAACACTAAGTATACTATCTGCTACCAATTATTTTTCGTTGATTTTTGGCAGGTGCTAAGAAAATGCATGTAAAATATAGGAAAACTAACAAAAAAAGCCGGATCAACATTCCTTGGACAACAAATTAATGTGAGAACAGGGACAAAATTTTCATGCAATATTGTCAGCAAAATAATCCAAAAAAATGTTGGGTAACCATACATAAAAGTCATATAAAAATCTAGATCAACTTTTCTCCTTTATGAAAATAATTTATGTTTATGCATGTTTCTTAAAAGAAACACACAAAAAAACGTTTGTCTAAAGCTACCTAAAATTAGTGGTATACGTAATATAACACATTTTAAATTATATGCTACCAATTAATTTTCGTTGAAATTTGGCATGTGCATAGAAAATGCATGTAGAAAATTGTCTGAATAAAAAATACAACCGGATCAACATTTCTTCTACTACAAATTCTTGTGAGAATATCAACCAAATATTCAGAAGCAAAATAATCGACAAAAATGTGTAATAACAATACATAAATTTATTAAATAAAGCAAGATTAGCTTTTCTTCTTTCCAAAAAGTATCTATGTGCAGGGGCGGACTTAAACCCCGTCAAGTGCTGCAAGTGACGGGGTAAAAAAACAAAAATAAATATAAGTATTATATTTATTTTTGGCAATTAACTTTAGGCGGGCGTTAGACGTCATAACGCCCGCCTAAAGTTAATTGCCGATCTATATATTTTTAGTAGAAAATATAATTAGAAAAAGTTTACAGTGAAAACTATGCTTTGCAGACGTTTGAAAAAGTGTTTTATAAAAATTGCTAATGTAAACTATACTTTGCAGGGTATTAGAAAATTATTTATAAAACTTGCTAATGTAAACTATACTTTGCAGGATATGAGAAAATTATTTTATAAAACTTGCTAATGTAAACTCTACTTTGCAGGATATGAGAAAATTGGATAAGTTCATTGGTTTACGCTATTAAAAGTAGCAATTTGATTCGTAAAAAAAAAAACCATGTTTAGTGTAAACTATCCTTTGCAGCATTTGCAGCAGTAATTTGATTGGTTGCAAAGATCGATAAACAATTCAAAAGAACTCAAGGAACTCAAAGAGCTCCGTTCTAAAAACAAAGTATTTCCTTAAAATTTTAACGTATAAGCATGGCTTACAACTTGATTGATGATGTACTTAAAAGATTTAAAACCGATAATCTTGTCAATTTAAATACTTTTTATGAAACTTTATTGGATACATTTATTTACAACAATAACAAAATGGTTAGTAACGAAGGTCTTTTAAGTCGTTTTATTGATGGCACAATAAGAAGAAATATATGTGCCGAAGTTTGTATCCCTTCTTACTTAAAAGACAATAAAATGCATTGTATTGCTCTAAGGTAAGTCAATTTACTTTTTTTTCATAAATAATTATCTTATTGTATTTTATTACAAAATTTAATACTTTTTTGTAAAAATATTTATTGTTAATACCGTATTAATCTAATCTATAAAAAAAATCTTGTTGACTAATCAATATTTAATAAGTGTCAACACCGTCAAGTGATTTTGACATGTATGAATATAATATGTTCATGATGTATGTATTAAACTCCTACATGTCAAAATCGTTTGTTGGTTTGTCTGAATTCTTGACTATTGATTTGATTTATGAATTTGTTTAAAAAGCAAAGATTTTTTACTCAATTTTAATTTTATTGATAAAAGAAGTTTAGCTCTTAAAAACATGAAGTAAATATATACTTTTTTTCTTAAGGTCTGAAGCATCTGGAAGTTGTATGTATAGCTCTGCATCATTATTTTTTGTTGCTGACAATACACTGATGGATGTGTTAAGAGTTTTAACATCCCTTGAAATTTATATACAGAATAAAAGAATGCTGTGTTTTTAATTGTTCAATTAATGTTAAAGGTCATCCGAACTTGAGTTTTTATATTTTGCCTGCTGATCCAAAGAGAAGAAAATTGTGGCTTTATGCTATATATAGAATTGATTCATCTTGAAAAAATAAACTTTGGTCGCAAAACATGTCTAAGTATGCTCAAAACATTTTGTATCTGGTAAGTTTTGTATTTGAATCGTCAAAATATTTGAACAAAAATTTTTCTTGAACTTATTAAGTTTTTTTCGTTTATATACTTTTATTCATAGTAAGTATGTTTCTCTTTCAGGAAAAAAAGAACATTGTCAAGATGCTTTTCAAAATTAACACATTTACTGATAGAACTATGTTCTATCAGTAAATATGTTAGGTACTAAAAAAATATATAGTGAAATCATCCCTCCAACATAATTGTTGTCGCGAAATGAAAGGAGAATAAATAGATTAAACAATTCACTTGGTATATACTATATAGTATTGACATATACTATATAAACAACAAGATAAACTATATAGTATACCTTTATCTATATTAGGTACGTGGACTGATTTTTTTTAATTGAGGATATACTAGAATGTTATATATCATTAGAAAGCCCTTCAATTATGTATTTTAATGGTGAAAAAATTATTAAAAACGAACAATTTAAAAAAAAGTTATGACGTTTTTAGTAGCAAATTTTCGATATATGGATTTCTTGAAGAAACTGGTTCCAAAATTAATTTTTTTTTCACTGAAATTGTTATAACTTTGTCAAATCTTACCCAAATGCCTATACCTTGGTATCAAAAGATAGATGTAATAGTAGGCTATAAGTTCATATAGTTTTATAGATAAAAGGGGTGTCTAGAGGGCCAGAGGGGGTATCGGAACACCATCGTAACCTTAAAAAAATGCAAGTTTTTCACACGAAAGTGTATTTTTCTGATAAAATTTGTTATCTTAATACACAAAAAGTTGTTCTAATTTGCTTCCATTACATTTCCAAATATTAGTGGTATATTTTAGATTAAAGGGTGGATGCTCTTGTTACGTTTTAACACCCTCGTAGTGAAATGTTACTATCTTATAAATATTTGAACCTGAAAAACAACTTTTTAACACATTATTTTATGTTAAAAAGTTTAAATTATATTTTTTTACATAACAGCATATACAAGTGGTGCATAAATTGAAATTAGGGGCGGGACGATACCACCCTTAGCGCCCCTCCCCCTTCCTCTCAGTCTTCTCCAACCTAAAAAAAAATGTTAAAAGATATCTGAAAAATGGTTTTAAACTGAGTTTATTTAAAAAGAGAAATTAGTATTCAAGATTATTTTACCATGTTAGTAAGGGGAGGGGTGTGTGCCACACCCAACGCCCCCCCTCCTCTTATTATTTGTACTTTAAAAAAATGTAAATAAAAATTTCAAAAATGTCTTTGTGTAAAAATTGTGTAAAATTGTGTAAAAGGAGAGACATAACTTTACTCATCTTACCACATTACAAGATGCAAGTTTGAGTATCCACCCTAAAAATTAACCAAAGTTTTAAAACTTATATTTTAAAAAGTTTTAAAATACAAAATATATAAATTTATGCCTTGGCTTTTAGTAAATGATATTATTTAAAATTTCAATGAAACTAAGTAAATCATTTTTAACAATAGACACCACGTGAAGGTAAGCCAGAGCCTTCTATAGGCACTATATGTAAGATCAATCTTTTTTCACTTCATCCGCAAACATAGCTTCACTTTTTTTTGTACCAATTATTCTTAAGAAAAAAAAAAATATATATATATATATATATATATATATATATATATATACACACGCAAAGAGTTAATATACCATAGGTTTTATTAAATTTTTTGAAAAGTAAACAAACAATATATAAAAATTTGTTAATTATTAATAACATTATAATAAAATATGTAAAAAAAAATCTCATACATACCTTCTACAAACAAGTAATGGTTACATAAATATAATATTTAGGAACTGTAAACATAAGTTAAAGTGGTTTAAAATCAAAGAATTAAACTGGTCTAAAATCAAATAATATTTCTTAACTCAAAAAAACAGTATATAAACTAAAATAAAATAAAGAATAGTAATTAGGTATGCAAAAGATATTTAACATTTATCAACTCAATAAAACATTACATATAAATTTGAAACTACATTTAATAGGGGCTATGAGAAAACCTTAAAATCTCAAAAAATCCTAAACGCATTAAAAAGTCTATAACTATTTATAGTTACAACTTTAATACTTTCTACACTACAACTTTTAATCACATTGAAAACATACAAAATAGATCCCTTGCAAACTTTTACACCTGTCAATGCTTTATTTTTAAATCATTTTGAGAAAGATTTAAAATAAATAAATCAAATGTTAATAATTGTAAAAATTGGGACAAAATGGAAAACAAACTTGATAATGTTATATATTTAATTAAAAAAAAAACAGGAATGGTGGTGCCTAGTAATAGTGGATGCCACCATTCACGACAAGGCCGCCACCATTCCATCTTTGCCCACCACCTCCTCCACGGCTTCCTCTTCTACTGTAGCTCCCAGCACTCCTGTTAGGAGGATGATAGGCCCAGCTGAATGATTCACCATCATTCCCTCCTAACCGGACCCACCGCAAAAATGACCGATAACTAATCGGTCCAGGGTGCTGGACCCTAAATCTGTAGTTGTTATGGAGGTTGTGGGACTAAAGGTAAAATTTTTTAAAAATAAAATAACAATTTACTTGCTATCAATAAGATAAGCATATACATATTAGAAACAATACTTTTACACATGTATATTATGCATAAACATATTAAAAAATAATAGTTTATAAACTTACCAATTGTAGCAGCTGAAGATGTAACTAAAGGTTAACAAAGTTGAAATAAAAATAAATATTGTGATTGCCAAGAAATGCATAAACATATTGAAAAGTGAAAGTTTGTAAACATACCAATAATTGCAGATGTATATGGAACTAAGTTAAAAAAAAGTGTAGTAAAAAATTAATATTGCAATAGATCCGAAATACATACATACATGAACAGGTTTTTTGAAGGATGCAATAAAAATATTTTTAAGCTTACCACTCAATGCAATTGAGGATGGAACTAGAGCTAAAAAGTTTTAATAAAAAATAAATCTGGAAGTGTCAAGAAATGCAAAAATTAAAAATTATTAATTGCTAAACTTACCACTCATTGCAGATAAAGATGTTGCTAAAGATAAAAAAAGTAGTAAAAATAAATAAAATAGGCTGGGTAGATTGAACTAAAAATAACAAAAAAAAAAGTGTATAATTACAACAAAACACTATGAAAAGAAAGAAATCATGATTCTGTGGAAGATGCAACAACTGTATTAACATAATGAAAACTAACAGTGAAAATATATTAATAAACAACAAGCTAACATTAGGAATGGTTTTTCACTTTGTTTATATATTAATTAGGTTATATTGGTTGTGGTTATATATAAAATATTTGATTTATACTTACGATATCTCAAAAAGGCTTCATAATGTGCAGCAGGATCTAAACAACATGTAAACAATAGGCATGCTTGTATTATGATTTAACTAATAATCCATAGATAAAGAAGTATACAATCCAAAAACAATTAAAGATGATAATAAGATGATAAGTTTTATTATATTTGAAAATTACTAACAAGTCTTTTGCAAGGAATAAACCAATGAATTATCTGATTTGTATGTTGTGTCATAATAAAATTGACAACAGATACTATTAGTTAACAATACATTCAAAAGCAAAGTTTTAAATTGAAGCATTAATCTTCTTTTTTATGTAACATATAAAAACAGATTAAGAATTAATCTGTTTTTATATCATATAAAAACAGATAAATTATATGTTACATAAAAAAGAATTTTAAATTAGAAAATATTCATAAATGATTTATGAATATTTTTTGTTTTTAAAGAGATCCCAAACTCCCCACACATGTTGTGTTCATATTAAAGATAATGTTAAAAAAAAAGGTTTGAACCAAATTTTTTTGATTAAAAATAAATAATGAATGCATACCGTGAAAAACAAATGTTGTTGTTTTTGCCAAAGCTCGTCTTCTCCATTTTTTTGAACTAATCGGAGTCTTCAAATTATGCGTCGCAATCTACAGACTTTGGCAATTCCTTTGTAGCGCGTTTAATTCATAAAAGTTTTAGTATTTGACGTCACGGTAGACTTTTAACAAAAGAAAAGTGTAATTAAACTAAGCTGCGATTTTCTATTGTAGTATTTTTTTAACTCACAGCAAAAAAAATTTATTTGTATTATTTTTCCAAACATCGCAAAAAAAAAATTTTGTAAAAAGTGAAAACAATAAATTACTTTTATTTTATAGGAGCAACTTATTTTTTACAGATATCTTAATAATTTTTAGATTTATATATCTTACTTATATTTCTTTAATTATTTAAATTAAAACAAATATTAAAGCTTTACTTACCAATCTCATGATTTTCATACGAGTATTTTACATTATATAGAACGTTTTATATACGGTCTCTTGTTTTTGCGCAAGAGAGCGTTGTATTATATATTCTGATTCTTAATTATTTTTATTTAAACAATGGGAACTATTTTCTAACTTCTCTGGTTATTTTTACGCTATGACAATTTTTTGTTTTCCCGTTGAAAAAAAGTATTTCTTTCATAACTAAAACAATTACTTTCTTAAACTGACTGTATTAATTAGAGATATTTAATGAACAGGTAACTTTTTTTATTATAAAAATTTTTTTTTTCACGCTGATTTAATTTAAATTGCTAAATTTGCTGAATTGGATACGGATAAAAAGGAAATACCATTTTATTTTACATTTGATTTTTGATAATGAAATTTTTAAAATGTCAGCAACTCCATACCAATTAGAACCTGTTAAGATTATGAAAAAAAAGTACAAGAATACACTAAGCAATACAGTTGACAGTAGTATCAGATATGAAAATTCGTGAAAGGATTTGTGAGATCCTGAATTTGCATTAAAAGTACAATGAATTGCAACACAAGTCGGCACTATAAATTTTGATTATAAGTTTACTGTTCAATATTTTGTAACCATCAAATAAAAAACATGAAGTTTGTATATTTTTGTCTGTTTTATACAACTAATATTTAACAAAAATACGGGCAAATTATTAATAAATAACGCAATAATTAACTCATTTATATAAGGCAATAATTCAAGATAGAAGGTAATTTAAATTGTTAAAATGTCATAACGCGCATTAAAAAACATATTATATTTGGTATTTCCAAATTTGTGTCGTAATTAGCATTTGTCTCTTAACATGAAAAATTAAAAAATTTTAAAAACACAATTAACAAATACAAATTTTCAAGCAATTTTCTCTTCCAATTCTCATTTATTCAAAGAAAATTTACTATTAAACTTTTATTTCTCTCATCTAAAAAAAGAACGAGTGAAGCAAAAAATATATATGTTCTATAAAACTCTTATTCATTCAAAGTTTAATTGCGCAAAATTTTTCTTTCTCTTTTGTTCTACTCTTTTATAAAAAGAGCGCGCGATGAAATAAAAACTTTTCTTTTTTAACATAATAATTATAGTTTGTGATAAAATTAAATTAGAAATAAATCAACAATGAGCAAAGCAACGAACAGATTAATCTGGAGCTGTTTTGATATTTAAGAAAATAATCAACATAAACAACATTACCAACAACAATTACCAAATAATTAACACAATCTCGCATAATTTTAGGGGCATTTTATTTTTATTGCTTAGTATTTCTAAATAATAAGTAAATTTAGTTCAAGTTAATAATTAAATATTTACAGTTGCAATAGCATAAAGAAATGGTGTTTATTACTGAACTTTTTATTTAGTTATTTATTTTTTACCTACATTTGTTATAAAAAACTTTAGAACCCCCATCATTAAAATAATTTGTTTTAAATATATTTCGACGTGATTATTCAAACTAATTTTTTTCGTTTTACTTTCCGAACTTCATGCAAAGCAAATTGAAACGAAATATCGTCTAACCAAATAAAAAAGCTGTTACTAATTTTATACGGGTAATTAATGTAAAACATTTTTTGAGATAATAAATATTCATAATTTATAAACATTAAATTTATGGCGCAATAACAATTTATAGCAACGAACCAGCATAAAATATTTAAGGTTTTTATTATCTTTTTACATATTTAAAGTAGAAAAATAAAAAACTAAACAAATAATCAAAAAAACTTTGACTAAAAATAAATAAAAATATTTCTAGAGTTTCATTTGTTAAAAGTCTACCGTGACGTCAAATACTAAAACTTTTATGAATTAAACGCGCTTCAAAGGAATTGCCAAAGTCTGTAGATTGCGACGCATAATTTGAAGACTCCAATTAGTTCAAAAAAATGGAGAAGACGAGCTTCGGCAAAAACAACAACATTTGTTTTTCACGTTATGCATTCATTATTTATTTTTAATCAAAAAAATTTGGTTCAAACCTTTTTTTTTAACATTATCTTTAATATGAACACAACATGTGTTGGGAGTTTGGGATCCCTTTAAATAGTTATTATTGATATCATTATAAAAAAAACTAAACTTACTATCTGTTATAGATTCAATAAAACTTCTGTCAGAATTCATTTTTTATTTTAATCTAATAATAAAACTCAAAATAATACGATATTAGGATTTGTATAGTCGGCCCTATCCACTCCCGTATTAAGCTTAACGAAAAAAACAACAGAAAAACCAAAATTATGTACCAAAAGTCCAACACTAAGTATACTATCTGCTACCAATTATTTTTCGTTGATTTTTGGCAGGTGCTAAGAAAATGCATGTAAAATATAGGAAAACTAACAAAAAAAGCCGGATCAACATTCCTTGGACAACAAATTAATGTGAGAACAGGGACAAAATTTTCATGCAATATTGTCAGCAAAATAATCCAAAAAAATGTTGGGTAACCATACATAAAAGTCATATAAAAATCTAGATCAACTTTTCTCCTTTATGAAAATAATTTATGTTTATGCATGTTTCTTAAAAGAAACACACAAAAAAACGTTTGTCTAAAGCTACCTAAAATTAGTGGTATACGTAATATAACACATTTTAAATTATATGCTACCAATTAATTTTCGTTGAAATTTGGCATGTGCATAGAAAATGCATGTAGAAAATTGTCTGAATAAAAAATACAACCGGATCAACATTTCTTCTACTACAAATTCTTGTGAGAATATCAACCAAATATTCAGAAGCAAAATAATCGACAAAAATGTGTAATAACAATACATAAATTTATTAAATAAAGCAAGATTAGCTTTTCTTCTTTCCAAAAAGTATCTATGTGCAGGGGCGGACTTAAACCCCGTCAAGTGCTGCAAGTGACGGGGTAAAAAAACAAAAATAAATATAAGTATTATATTTATTTTTGGCAATTAACTTTAGGCGGGCGTTAGACGTCATAACGCCCGCCTAAAGTTAATTGCCGATCTATATATTTTTAGTAGAAAATATAATTAGAAAAAGTTTACAGTGAAAACTATGCTTTGCAGACGTTTGAAAAAGTGTTTTATAAAAATTGCTAATGTAAACTATACTTTGCAGGGTATTAGAAAATTATTTATAAAACTTGCTAATGTAAACTATACTTTGCAGGATATGAGAAAATTATTTTATAAAACTTGCTAATGTAAACTCTACTTTGCAGGATATGAGAAAATTGGATAAGTTCATTGGTTTACGCTATTAAAAGTAGCAATTTGATTCGTAAAAAAAAAAACCATGTTTAGTGTAAACTATCCTTTGCAGCATTTGCAGCAGTAATTTGATTGGTTGCAAAGATCGATAAACAATTCAAAAGAACTCAAGGAACTCAAAGAGCTCCGTTCTAAAAACAAAGTATTTCCTTAAAATTTTAACGTATAAGCATGGCTTACAACTTGATTGATGATGTACTTAAAAGATTTAAAACCGATAATCTTGTCAATTTAAATACTTTTTATGAAACTTTATTGGATACATTTATTTACAACAATAACAAAATGGTTAGTAACGAAGGTCTTTTAAGTCGTTTTATTGATGGCACAATAAGAAGAAATATATGTGCCGAAGTTTGTATCCCTTCTTACTTAAAAGACAATAAAATGCATTGTATTGCTCTAAGGTAAGTCAATTTACTTTTTTTTCATAAATAATTATCTTATTGTATTTTATTACAAAATTTAATACTTTTTTGTAAAAATATTTATTGTTAATACCGTATTAATCTAATCTATAAAAAAAATCTTGTTGACTAATCAATATTTAATAAGTGTCAACACCGTCAAGTGATTTTGACATGTATGAATATAATATGTTCATGATGTATGTATTAAACTCCTACATGTCAAAATCGTTTGTTGGTTTGTCTGAATTCTTGACTATTGATTTGATTTATGAATTTGTTTAAAAAGCAAAGATTTTTTACTCAATTTTAATTTTATTGATAAAAGAAGTTTAGCTCTTAAAAACATGAAGTAAATATATACTTTTTTTCTTAAGGTCTGAAGCATCTGGAAGTTGTATGTATAGCTCTGCATCATTATTTTTTGTTGCTGACAATACACTGATGGATGTGTTAAGAGTTTTAACATCCCTTGAAATTTATATACATGCTGATTAATACTGTAAGCATTCTTTAATTTCAAAAATACTTTCTGATTATAGTTCTCATTTTATTAATCTCAAAAGTTTGTTGTGTATGTCAGTATTTCATTCTGCATTAGATTCTGGCTTCGAAAATAATAATATTATTAAAGCTGAAGTAAACTGTGAGAGCACAGAGAAATGGGCTTGTTTTTTATGTTTGTTAGGTTTATCATTGGTTCTTTCTTGTAATATTGTTTCCTGTTACCCAGATTTCGGTGTTGAAAAGTATAAAATATTTTTTAACCAAGAGATTTCACCACTTACTCCCATTAAATTAAATCGTCTAATGTCCAATTACTTTCAGAGGTTTTTAATAAAGTTCGCGACTTTCTTATTTTTTTAATTATTCAGAAAATAGACAAAAGTTTTTAGAAGCTAGGATTTTAGAGCGAGAACCTCAAACGCATAAAAAAAATTAAAAGATATCTGTAGAACTAGATGGATTGAGCATATAGATGGTTTAAACACTTTTCTTGAACATTATTTATCTATTTTCCATGCTTTATGTATCATGGCTTCCCTTGAGAGTTCTGTTAACAAAGACACACAAAACAAATCTTCTACTTTTTTAATTCCATTGGCACTTTTCAATTCGTCTTTACTTTAGTTGTGACAACACGTGTATTTGATTTTACTTTACCTGTTATCGGTTACTGCAATCAAAAACTATTGATATCTTAGACGGTTTGTACCTTATTACAGCTCTTAAAAGTACATTTATTTCCATCAGAAACGATATAGATAGTTTTCATAATAACTGCTATGAAGCAGCATGTTTGTTTTCAAGTAAAGGTGAAATTTTTGTTTTGAAACCAAGAGCCTGTTCCATTCAAAAAAATCGTTCTAATGTTCCATCAGAGTCTGTTTCAGAATACTTCAAAAAAGCTGTTACTATCCCTCTTATAGATCATGTATCTACATCTATATCTACAAGATTTAAATCAGAAACTGTAGCTGCATATAAAGGGTTATCGATTATTCTATTTAATATTATTTCTTTTCTTAAAAGACCCAAAACCCAATTGTGTTGGAGGAAGCAGTTTGAAACATTCTGTGATTTTTATATAGATGATTTCCCTAATATCAGTGCCTTGAATGGGGAACTAGTTCTTTGGGAAAAATACTGGGAAAGTTTCTCTAGGACTATTCCTGACAATATATCTTTAACGCTTAAATCGATATCATTTCCTGGATTTGAAAATATTAAGATAGCTTTAAGGATGATTTCAATGATTAGTGTCTATACTGTTTATTCTATAACACACTAACAACTTTTGAAATTTTTGTCTAATATCACCTCTCTTCATATAACAGCTAACAAATAGGCATGGAAACCCCTGGAAAGGCCAAGACTTCAATAGTGTCTTTAACAGGACGGGTTAAATGTAACTCCATACTTTTGTTTGGGATTAGCTATATGATTGGTGATCATAGTTCAGGCAAACATTAACCATCTCTTTTTGACAATCTCTTTATATCATTTTCTAGCAACAAAATAAAAAATTAAAAAAATGATTTTCAATAAATTTTCTCTCAATCAACCTAATAATATTCATAAGTTTTTGTGCCATTTAAATCAGTTTTTTGCTGTAGTTGTCAAAACCATTAGCTTTCTTTTTATTTCATCAAAAATGATCTTTTATGTTGTTAAAGCTTAACTTGGTATGTCTTTTTTTTTTTAATCTTGTTATATAAGAATATATATAACTTTTTATTTCACGATGTATATAAATCCATTTGTATTTTTGTCTTTCTCTTTTCAGTTCTTAATTTTTCTTTCTCTGATTGTCCATGTCCGGAATAAATATGTTCCTAGACATGCTGATGAGCCCTGATATTGGGCGAAACAATCATTTGTTGGTTTATATATTTATTATATATTTATATAGAAAAAAAGTTTCAAAGTAAAACTAAGATATGAGCTCAATGAAATAGCAAAAAGAAAATCCCTTTAAATCCTCCAGCCCAGGGGCAGGAGGATTTAGGGGATACATAGGGGGCAGGCTATAGGAACGATGGCCTCCCTTAGATGTTTTTTTTATAAGAATATTTTGTAAAAGTGTAAGTAAATTTGGTAGGCTGTTTAAAAGTGGGATAAAATTGTGTAGTCTAAATTCTTTTTTTTTTGGGGCTTGCCTGCTTAAAAATCGTTAAACCTGTAAATCACCCCCTTTAATCGTTTGGATCAAATGAAAAGAAAATTTGCCCCCCTCCCCCCTTTACTACATAGTCTTACTTATTCCCCCTCCCCCCCTGATTTTTTTTATTTGCTTTGTGGGCGTAGTTGCGTCACTTACAACATGGCGTAAGGCGCATTTTTTTGACGGGGTAAATTAAAAACCTGCGTCCGCCCCTGATGTGTATATCTGTTTCTAAAAAGAAACTCCACAAAACTACGTCTGCCTCACATGTGAGGCAGACGTAGTTTTGTGGAGTTTTTTTAACTCTTTTTTTAGGCAGTGTGCACACTGCCTAAAAAAAGAGTTAAAAAAACGAGAACCAAACACTGATCTCTATAATAACTGGATAGCGCATCTCTAATATCAAAAGTGAAGCCAATATTTTGTACGGCCGCCATATTGGAAAGCCCCAGAAAACCGAAAATACAGTGATTGCGCTTGAAGATGTACCTTTTTACTTCGTTTATATCTACTCGACCAAGTCACATATTTCAATGATATTATTATATTTAAAATGTTTGAAGGTGTAAAAATTATAAAAGGGAATCAAAAACACGCAGAACATTAACGACGAAGAGAAATATCGCTATAAAGAAATAATAAAATTTGTATTGCTTTCTATGAACTTGTTAAATTTATTGAATTCATGATATTCTAAATAAAACTTTTCTAAAAGACAAATTGATATTTGATCTGGTTACTTTTGGGTGTTTATTTTAAAAACTTGATGCGACCTTACTTAGCAATAGTTGCTGGAAAGTAACTTTACAAGTATAAAACATGATAAAAACATTGTATCAAACATTTTTGTAAATGGTTTTCTAATTTTTGAAACTCTGAGGGCATGTTTATATTGTTCCACAACTGAAATATCATCAACTATGCAATACTTTATTAAAATTGATATTACTTAATAACAATGTTTTATTCTGTTGCTTTGCTAACTTTAATTACACTTTGTGAAGGTTTGAAAAAGCCATCTCTAATTTTAAAAAACACTAGATATTTGGTGATAACTAGTTATTTGCAGTTTTACATTAAAGTATTTTGTGTTTTAGACTAAATAACAGCATCACATACATGTTGATTGTTTATATGTAAATATGGTATAAATGAAAACAGACATGGTTCTTTCAAGTTTTTTTACAACTATTGACTCTAAAGTAAAATAATAATGATTCAGCTAACATCTATCAGTTTTATACTGATAAATATTAGTTGTATAATTAATAAATATTTAAAATATCTCTTGTGAAAACAAATAAGCAACATAAAAGACCAAAATGAAAGGTGAACAATTTTTTTTCTAAGTGTACATACTTTTTTACTTTTCCCTACCACATAATACCTTTTTATTCAATGTTTATTTTGTTATTCAATGCTTATACAAGTTATTCAATGATTATTTTGTTCAAGATGATAGAGCTAACTATTATTTTATTTATATTTTTTTTACTTTAACATATTCTTTTGTAATTGCAATATTTTATACAAATGTTCTGGTGTTGTGAAAATGTCTAATGGCATTTACAAAAATGTCTTGAAAGTATTTTTCGACAGTTAAGCGTTAAGTTAATTTATATATATATATATATATATATATATATATATATATATATATATATATATATATATATATATATATATATATATATATATATATATATATATATATATATATATATATATATATATACACGCAAGAACAAAATTATTAAAAGTAAATATAAAGATTTGCTATATGTTGCCTAAGGAACCTTTAGGTTGTGTTACAATCACATTGCCTAACTAATGATTCATACAGCAAACTTGTAAGCTGTTTACCTTGCAAATATGTTACAAGCCTCAGGCATTTTGCAGAGGGCAATTAAGAATCAAAAGGTGCATACTAATATACACTTGCATGCTATTATAATAATATTATACCAGGGTGGCCAGCTAACTGGAAATCATGGAAAAGTCAGGGAATTTTTTTCTAGTCAGGAAAATCAGGGAAAAATGTCTTTTTTGAAAATTTAATTTTTTTAAAGGTTTTTTTTTTACTTACTTCCAAACAACAAAACTTAAAAATTCACACTTCAAAATATAACTGAGTCAGGGAAAAATATAAAAAAGTCAGGGAATTTAATTCTTGAAAGTGGCTGGCCACCCTGTATACATAATTTATATATATATATATATATATATATATATATATATATATATATATATATATATATATATATATATATATATATGTCACTCTCCATGAAATAATCTGAACATATAACATCAGATTTACTCGGTTTTTAATAATCAATGCATTTATAAGGTTTTTGCATTTTTTATTTATCAAGCGAAATCTGTGTTTAAAGCGCATATAAGTTTAACGCAACTACGGATTTATAAATTCTGGGGCTTTCCAATATGGCGTCTTTTGGCTTCAAAAATTTCGAAATTTTATTAGGAGATGCGCTATCCAGTTATTATAGAGATCAGTGGAACCAAAATTTTAGCATAAAAATCGGTTCCGTAAATCGCGATATCCGCGTACCTATCTATATAGGTATACTAGGGTGGTGCTTAAAACAACTTTTTTGAGAAAAACTTGCTGGTACCCCCTAAATGTGTTTTATCTAATACAAAAACACTAGGTTTAAAATTTTTTTGAACAAAAATTATTTTTAGGGGTAGCTCAAGGCCCTCAAAAATTTGACGGGTCCCTAATATTTTGAAAAAAAAACTTTTTCTAAAGTATGTCAACCTGGTACTCAAAAGAAGCGATATTATATAAAAACTTCAAAAATAATAATCATTTTACATTAAAAACATGCCTAAAAAAAATTATTCTCAAAAAACCTGAAAATATTGATTTTTTTTATTTTCAGCTTAAAAACAATAGTTTCTATGCATTTATACCTGAAAAAATTATTTTTATAAAAAATTATTTTCATTTTTAAATTTTTTATATAATTTTGCTTATTTTGAGTACCAGGTTGACATACTTTAGAAAAAGTTTTTTTTTCAAAATATTAGGGACCCGTCAAATTTTTGAGGGCCTTGAGCTACCCCTAAAAATATTTTTTGTTCAAAAAAATTTTAAACCTAGTGTTTTTGTATTAGATAAAACACATTTAGGGGGTACCAGCAGGTTTTTCTCAAAAAAGTTGTTTTAAGCACCACCCTAAGGTATACAATATAAACTATATAGTATACTTTTAGTATAACATTTATCTTGTTGTTTAAAATGTTTTTGTAAAAACTGTTTATGTAATAGTTACAATTTATTTTTATTTTGCATTGATGCATAACAAAAATAAATTGTATATATAAATATTAATCCATTAAAACTAAGCATTTATAAATCATGTGTTTATTGCTTTTATTTTTAAATAAATTAATGTTCAATAGTTTGTTGAGCACTATTTTTATTAATATGACATATCAAATTTATTTTTACAACCTTTGCTTGCTAAAAAAAATACTTAAATTAAGCCATATATATTTTTAAATATATGTGTTTGTATTTACTATATATCTGAAACATGCTAATATTTTTTTAGAATATTGTGTACAAAAAAGTCATTGTAATAAATCTCAAGTTATTGAAGTCAGTAAACAAATAAGTACTGACATTTCGTTGACTGGAGTGGAGGATGTTAGTGTCTTGAACCAACACAAAACAACAAGTGAACTTAGATGAGAATGACGGTAGTTTAAAAATAATACAGAGTTGGCTAGCAGGTAAGTGATTATGTGTATGTTGGCTCACTTATAAGTCAATATATATGTGTTTATGTTCTGTGTTGACCTCTGATGCCGTGTTGGCTTACTCTTTAGACATTATACGTGTGTTTGTGTTCTGTTTCAATCTTTGGTTCGGTGTTGACTTACTTGTAAGTCATTATGTGTATAATTTTATTTTGTTTTATTGTGTTATTATTGTGATGTTATTGTTGTGATGTTTTGTGTTGATAGATAACTTTGCTTACCTTCTCGTTGGCGTCTCTTGTTACAAATGATTATTAGGTTATTTTTTACTGAAACTCATTACTTCTAATCATTTACTAATAGGCAAGAAACATGTTTTAAAGTAAAACATACTTATAATGTTGTCATTTTTAATCTTAAGGATTGTTCTTAGGTCACAAAAACAATCTTACAAAGTAAGTTTTTTCTTTATCATTTATTTAGTTATCATTTATTTTAATTAGGTTTTTATTTTTCATGTTAACATAATACATAAGACATTAATCTGTAAATGCTTTCAGCATAAATTGGTTCCATTTTCTTTAGTAGAGTTTCTGCTGTTGTTTCTGGTTTTAGAGAGTACCTTCATGAATGAAGATAAAGAGACATTTATGTCATTTTCTTAAAGCCAAGACATAATATTGTTAATCCTCATACCATTTACTAAAAAACTTTATAAATATTGTTACAATGTTATAATTCAAATTGTTGTAATTAGTAATTTTGATCATTTCACTATTATACTGTAAAAAATATTTTTTATTTATAACATTTATTTTACATATATTAAAAACATGAGGAATAAATATTACACTGAGGAAAATTTTAAGTAAAATATAGAATTTTTAAATGTTATTAAAATATCAATATGTAATATTTTTGTTTTATTTATTGACTATATCTGTAAACTGTGCAATAATTTCAAAATGATGAATTAATTGAATTCCTTTATGCATTTGCACAGATTTATTTTAATATAACGCTAAATTTTGTTCTAAAAAGTCAAGTAAAATCTCTTCAGCCTGTAAAATAGATTGTTCTGTCTAATCCTGGTAGATTTAAAAAAAGTAGTTTTATATCATAATTTCTTTTTTACGTATTTAGTTTCACATTATAACCAGTTTTGAAATGTAAAGTAATTTACTGAAATTTAATGATTACTAAATTTACTGATTAATTGAAATGTAAAGTAAAATAATGTTGCGTTTGAAGTTATTGTCATTAAGCAAATAAACAGTCATTGCAAGTCCCTTGAGCTTCTTTTTTCTGACTTTCAAATGCAATCCCTGTGTAACCTAAGTATCACTTATTGACATAATATAGTAATTATATATAATATAGTAAGTATGTAAGACAGCTAATTTTATCTACTCCTTCAGACCGGTTGCGTGGGCACAGTGCAATAGCAGCAAGTACTTCAAGTAGTGCAGCTATGGCGCAGTAGTTACAGCGCTTCCTTTATTAGCAGGAGATCCAGGTTTGAAACGAGCTTTGGACATATTTTTGCGTCACCTATATAACTAAAATTTTGAGGCACCTATATAACAAAAAAAAAAAAGAAGTATACATATAAATACGCAAAAAATAACTTCCTACTTTCAATTACTATGAAAGTAATTTTTTCTTTAGTTGATGGATCACTGTGATAAATTTTAAGTTAAACAACAATGGGTTCGACGATATCAATGTGAACTACAAAATAGAACTAAATTATTAAGGCAGGAACGCGACATTTAAATCAATGTCGCAGATATATGATGTAATCTAATAAAACATCATTTATATTTAGTTTTTCATATAATTTTAAGTTACTTAATATTTTATTTATATATGTAAACTATTGTTTACCAAGTTTTTTTTAATAATGATATAACTGTTTACAAGAATACAGCAACTTTTATACAATAGGTTAAATTTTTACACAATTTTATTATTAAAAGTGCCTAAAGCGACAGTATATTTTGCCATTGAAATTTGCATAAACAAATTTTTTCGTTTTGTCTTCTGCGAACAGCTAACCATAAATATTAAAGAAAAATATCCTACATCTTTGGATTTAACTATTACTATTGTGTAGCACTTGTCACACGCTACCGTATTATGCGGAAATAGGATTTAACTTTCATTGTAATTAAAGGAAAGAAATTTCTTTTTTGCGTAGTCATATATGTGTACTTAAAGTACTTGCTGCTATTGCCCCGCTGTCGGGGCAATAGCAGCAAGTACTTTAATCGAAAAATGAACCTCAAGGGACTTTATTACAACAACTTCAAACGTAACAATTACTTTAACTAAATATGTAAAAAGAACAATCTATTTTACAAGCTGAAGAGATTTTATTTGACTTTTTAGAACGAAACTTAGCGTTATATTACAATAAATCTGTCAAAATGCTAAATGATGGTCTGACTTTGTTATAGAGAATGTAAGCTCCACCAGGCAGTTTCTGATGTTTTATAGTTTGAACCCATCCATCAATAAAAATCATCATAAGCATCTAATGATTTAAAGTTTTCCATGGCTTTACTCGAGTATATCCCTAAAATTATTATCATAGTAACTTTCAATGATTAAATGCCTATTAGTTGCCTAAATCACACATTATCTAGTACCATGGTCATAATAATATTCTCATTATCAACTTGTACTCTGTGTAATTAACTAAATAATACTGTTCAATAAATTTATCTTTTATAGTTTATATTTTATCTTCATCTGTCTTGTTCAATAATAAATAAATTACTTACTAGGACTTTTTTTAAAAATTGATAAAAATGATGATAAGCAATAGCAGGCTATTAAGATGAGTCATCTTTCCACTCATCTGATACAAGTTTAAAAGAGCACATTTTTAGACCTAACACTTTTAATATTACTAATAGGATAGTATAAATACTATTATTTTGAACGGAATAGTATTAGTGTGTTTGAGATATAAGCAATACATTATAAGCAAACTAATATTCTTGCGTTTAATTACACAATACTACTTATTTAATCACTATTAATACTATTATTAATAGTATTTAATACTATTACTAACCAATATACTAGTAATAGTATGATTATGATTAAATAAATAGTTTAGTGTAATTAAACTTAAGATTAACTAATAAACTTTATTAGACAAAATTTCATATTAGGTTACATATTAAACACGCTAATACTATTAAACTAATAACTACATTAAGTTAACTTAATGTAGTTATTGTTAACTACGTTAAATTAACTTAATGTAGTTATTAGTTAAAAGTATTTAATTAGTTAAATACTATTATTAATATATTACTAATAATATTAGTTAATCATTACTAATAATATTAGTTAATCACACTCATACAATTATTAGTATATTAGTAATATACTAATAATTGTATGAATGTGATGAAGTAAATAGTATAGTGTAATTAAACACAAGATTAACTAATAAACTTTATTAGAAGAAATTTCACATTAGATTACATATTAAACACGCTAATACTATTAGACTAATAACTACATTAAGTTAACACACTAAAACTAGTGTGTTTACTTAGGTACGTGGAAATATCCGTTTTACGGAACCGAATATTGTGCTAAAAAACTGTGCCACGCTTTTTAGATTTTTTTTTAAGCTAGCGTATGGAAGACGTGTTTAGTTGAAAAACTTTTTAGAATTTGATATCAATATAGATTATTTTTAGAAACTAGAATAGTTAAACTTTATTATTGTGAGGTTTATTATTTTACTAGATGGCTTTTTTATTGAGTTTTTTTATGTCTAAAACTTTGTTGTACTTTGGGCATTAAATTAATGTTGAAGATATGCTCATTTTTTTTTCTATACTATTCTTTTTTTTAAGTTTTTCATTTATCTATGCACCTGGAAAATTTCATTGAAAAAAAAATTGTAGCAGGGTGTCTATTTTTTGTCGCACTTTTGGTACCTAATTTTCATTTTGCTGAAGTGTTTGCGGGAGACAGAGGGGTTGAATAAACATTGTTTATATTTGATTTTGATTAAATAAAATTTTCAGTTTTTAAGATTAAATAAAATGGAAAGTAAAGATATTGATAAAAGTTTTTAATATTGTTTCCTATTTATTAAGATTTTAAAAAAATTATTTGTCTTCAATGTAAAGTTATTATTAAATGAATTTTAATGTTTCCTTACTTCAAAGTTGAATTTTTTAAAAATGTAACTGACATATTAGTAATATTATAACATATTTTATCTTACATTGTAAGTCTCTCCAATAACTATTGCAATATGCTACTACTTGTTGTATCATGCATCTTTTTCTAAAAAAGATTTAGTCTTTTACTATCAATATTCAATTATATATCTTTATTATGCTATGTTTTTTGTGCAGGTTTTTGTGCATCCACGAAGTTTTTTTACAGTTGTTTATTAATATATTCCTGATTGTTTCATGCTTTTTATTGAATCATTGTTATTTTTTTTCTTTAGACAATTAAGAACAAACTATTAGTAAATAAAGTTTAAAATATTTTAGTTATTTAGTCATTTAAACTTTTTTTTTTGTAATGTTAGTGTTATAACTTAATCTTATAATAAGGTAAGTAATTTAAAGTTGGCTTTTAGGTGAATTTAGACAGCAGATTTGTAATTTTAGTAAATTTTAATAATTTCAATGGTATAGTTTAATGATACCTGCTAACTATAGATTATTACTTAATTGATACACAAGCTCAAGGTGTTTAATTTATTGATACACACTAGCTAAAGATGTTGTAATAACTAAATTGTAACTTGAAGTAAAGTTTATTTTAGTAAACATTATATTACTATTGTTATTACTTATTTCTTTTTAATTCTTTAGTAACACTTACTTCATTATTTGGTAAGAGATTAATGTGTATTTTTATGTGTATGTATTGAGAAATATAGTCTGATTTTGTGTATTATGCAGTATTGTACTATTTAATATGTACTATGTTATTGTATATTTAATATGTACTATATATGTGTATTTAATATGTAATATTTACATGTACCATTTAATCTTTTGTGTCATTGTATTATTTAATCTTTAATATCCTTGTCATCTGTTGCAGCTGGTAAGGTTTCTATATTATTAATTTGAGAGATAAGTTTGTTAAATGCTCAGTTCATGTAGCGCGTAAAAATAGAGTTAGCAATCGATTGCATCAGGCTAAAATTAGAGCCAATATTTATCAAAGACAGGCATCCAAGCTCAAAAAAATTGATGAAAAAGAAAAAAGCTAGAGCAAAAAAAGTTAGAGCGTTAGCTATCCAAACTGAGTTATGATGAAATTATAGATTCATACAAAAATTTGTCTAATGACCAACTTTATAATTTAGAAGATGTCATGTATAGAAGAATTGTAGGCAAAAAACAATATCATAAATGATATGATCCTAAACATCCAAGCCTGTTTTGTATAATGGCAGAGTAGATAAAGTATTTAGTTGAAAAAATGACTTAATTTGCACTATTTCTTACTGGAAAGATGATGAAACATATATGGAAGCTGTTGACTATTCCATGAAAAAGATCCAGCTTGTTGCAGATGTTATTTCAGAAGAGTTACAATTTTATTAATTTTATATTATATTAATAAAACACTGTGAAAGTACAAGTTTGAAATTTAAGCTAAAAAAGTACTACAAATGAATTGCTGAAAAATACAACCAGTGTTGTGACTAGCTAAAAGAAATTTATTATTGTAATCATTCATTAAAAGCCAAGACAAAACTATATGAGATAAAAAATAAACAAACTATTATTATTTCTTTTTAATAACATTTTATTTGTTTTTTAGTTTGAAACAGCCAAAGTGCTATTTGAAAGATTTAAAAATTATTAAAGGTTGGTTAATAAAATGGATATCAAAGCTGTAGAACATTGCATGAAAAAGTTTCAACTTGTTGCAGATATTGTTTCCAGAGAGTTGACTAGATATTATTTTGTTGAAACACTGCAAATATATAAATTTGAAATTTATAGATTAAAAAACTACTGTGACTTGTTGAAAAAAAAAAAGTACTGCTAGTGTTGTGACTTGCTAAACAAAAGTACTGCAAGTGTTGTAACTTGCTATGTATTTTTGAAAGGCAACTCTGGCTTACCTTAATTTCGTTAATAATTTCGTTAGTATAATTTATCATTGTAATCATTCACCAAAAGCCAAGAAAAAACTTTATGAAATAAAGCATCATTAAAATAATCAAACATTATTTAGTGTTAATAACATTTTTTTTGGTTTTTAGTTTGAAACAGCCTAACTTTTTGTTAACCAAACTAGTATCAAGCACTATATGAAAGATTTGAAGATTTATAAAGGTTGGTAAATACCTTGTTTTGATTACCTTTTTACCACTATTGACTAATAATAGAAGTCACTCTGTATAAGAATATTTTAACAAAAAATTCTCCAAGTAATCAAAAATGCTTTTTTAAAAAAATGATTAATTTGGGAAAAGGGGGGGATAGCCCCTCTCTTTTGAGAATGGATGCAACACTGATGTAACTTTTACCGGGTAAGATATATTTTTTACTTCTTTGTTGTTGTTCTTTAAATAACCAATCAAATATTTCATAATTAAAATTTTTTTGCGATATTAGGGTGGTTAAAACATGGTCAACACATTTAACATGAGTTTTACACTTACCTTCAATGTTTGGTGGTTGTCCAGTATTAATTTATAGAACCTTTTTTATACAGAAAAAAACTTTGTTTTGGAACTTTAGGAAACAGTAGTTGTGTCATTTTAATTTTTTTTAATTTTTTTTTTTTAGGTTGGGGAGGGGGGGTTATTTTCCCCTCCCATACATCGATGTAAACACGACTTAAATTCGTAATAGTAACACCACGTAAATTCTTGCAGAACATAATTTTATATTGTATACTAATTGAATTCATTTTAGTAAAGATAAAAATATTTATAAAAACAAGTCTTATATGATACTAGGGTGTATCAAACCATCACCACCACACCCACCTCCAACGTTAACATACGCCTCTTATATACTCTGGTGGTTAAATATAAATTTATAACAATGTTTTTGTATATTTAAAATACTTATGTGTTGAAAAAAGATTTTTTTTGTGAAAAAAATGTTTAGTTTCATACGGGTAAGGTGATGGTTTGGTGCCCCCTCTGTCCATCCAATACACCCGGTGGTTAGAGTTAAACAAAAATTTGTAGCCCACTCTTATACCTATCTTTTGACACCAAGATATTTGTATTTCGATTAGAATTAATAAAGTTATGACAATTTAAGTGAAGAAAAACATAATTTTGACCACAGTTTCTTCAACAATTTCATATATCGAAAAATCGGTACTTCAACTGTCATAACTTTTGAACCAATTGTTCGTTTTTGATAATTTTTTTCACCTTTAAAATACTTGATTGGTCCTCTTTCTAATGATATATAACAGTAGAATATTTAAACAATTTGAAATTTTTACTCACGTACCTAGTTTACTTAATTAAGTAAACACACTAATAGTATTAGCGTGTTTAATATGTAAACTAAACTAAAATTTCTTGTAATAAATTTTATTAGTTGTATAAAAAGCTCACCTATTAAATCTAACTTATTCTGGTAATGTTCAGGAGCCTTTTTAGATAACTTTTCTTGATAATCATGACATTTTCAAGGCGTTTAAGTAATGTTGCATTGAAATCAACGCGTTTGTTTGCCCCCATATCATAATGGTAGATATTTTTATTTTTTAATTACGCAATGATCACGTGGTTTTTTCGTCGCAAGTATACTTAAGTATCAAGATTAAAATAGTAAGTTTACTCTTAAATAAAAACACTTTGCGAAGATTTCATCTATAAAATATAAGTTTTAAAGTCTATTTATTTTGTTAAAGATATTTATTTTAAAAAAATACGTCATTATTATTGTTTCTAACTGCTATAAGATTTCAAATTACGAAAAAGGTACTTGACACCTAATAACATTAATAATCTATAAATAAATATATATATAAATATATATATATATATATATATATATATATATATATATATATATATATATATATATATATATATATATATATATATATATATATATAATCGTTAAATTCACACAATAAGTAATGCTTAAAATAGTAAAAATTATATAAATATGACTTTAAAAATGCAATAAACTTTAGTGAGGATTGAGGTTTCGACATTCGCCTTGGAGAATAAAACTGATATAGAAAATTTATATCTAGATATATCGAAAGCTTTCGACTAATTTCACAACTATCTCCTACATCTAAAATTAAAAGCTTATAGAGTAGGTGGCAAACTCTACAATTGGATTTGAATGTTACCTAAGAGATCAGAATTAGAGTATCATTGATGGTGTTACATACTCAGAATAGAAAATAGTAAATAGTGTGGTTCCCCATTGTTTGCTTTTATGATATATATTAATTATTTTTCTGATTTGGTTTTAGATGTTGTATCTGTATTTACAGATGAAACTAAGTTATACAGTTTGCAATAACCTGAAAAAATGTATCGGCATTATAGCAAACTGGGCAAAACTATAAAAACTAAGTTTTAATATAAAAAAGTATAAAGTTATGCCCTTAGGACCAACAAATACAAAATTTATATATATACTCGTTTATAAAAGTCTAAATACTTCAATTAATATTAAAAACTCTCTCATCAATAAAGGGATCTTCTTTGACAGTAATTTGACTTTTATTTTGTAAGTACAAAGAATAACACCGCCAATAAAGTTGTAGGAATGATCAAAAGATCATTTGCAGATCATTAAGTAGTTAATCTGAGTTGTAATAGCATACGTGTTAATATGGCCACTTCTTAATATTAATATATAGATTATATATTTAGTTAATATTTATTCCTCCATTATGACTTCAACTGATGTTCAGAAAAACTTTTCTAGTATGCAATTCACAAATTTGTAGAATAGTCTACCATCTGAAATAGTGTTCAACATCTGTCACAACATTTTAAAAACATCTAGGTGCATATTGGGTTCATCAAATGTACAGTTGCATATAAACAATTAGACCAACACAATTAGATACGATAGAACAAAAAGATGATAGGCTTTTTTATATACCTAATTATTCTATTTATAAAATTATAACCTTCGAAAATAATAATAATATCAACCAGGGCTGCGGAGTCGGAGTTGCGGAATTGACAAATTTTTAGCGGAGTCGAAGTCGCTAAACAAAATCGCAACTTCGACTCCAATAGTAAAACTTCTTGGAATTGCATGTGCATATATAAAACATTAAATTAATCTTATTTTCATACTGAACCTCAAAGAACATTTCATAAATTTGTCAAAAAAAAATTTTTTAACATATTGTGTAATTTTTTTTAAAGCATTTAAATTTTTCAAAAATTTTTCTTTGGAGTTATAGTCAGAGTCGCAGTAAGAGTCGGAGTTGTACTTAAAAAATTTCAAAAACTAAGGTTGGAATCGGAGTTGCAAAAAAAGTGAATCAAAATTCACTTTTTTTTACTAACCAATATTCAAACTCTACTTGAAATAAAAAGCGATTACATTTAACATTAAGAAATAAAACTCAATAATTTTTAAACTAATATTTTCAGTAAAAAAAAAATAAAAATCTGAAAAAAAAGTTAATCTGAAGTTTCTTTATATCATAAATTTATTTGTTATAATTTTTTTAGCTGTTGTACCGTTAAATTGAAGGTGGCAATAAAGTTTACAAAATTTGCTCTGGCTGAATTTTTCAATGAAAAAACAATATGTGTACCATGAATGTAATCTGTTTTTCATTGCGGATCAATAAAAGTTTGGTGTATTGGCCAAATCACTTGCAAGCCTCTTGCCTTTAGGCTGCCATATGTAAAATCACGCATTTAAAAGTAAATGAAAGCAGCTGAAAATAAGAATTTTTATTTTATTTTGGTAACTGTCTTACTTACAATATTGTTTTTGTTTTATTTACAATATTGTCTTTGTTTTTTATCTAAACAGCTATATTTGACTCAAATATAGTAAATGTTGATTGTTTGGTATGGTTTCATCTCTTCTTTATATTTTTTTTGACAGTTATGAGACTGCTTTAGAACGGAATTATCTGTCCCTCCAGCTTACAGGGTTATTCATTCTTACATGCGCGTACATTCATTTTTATATGCGCATTTATTCATTCTTATATGCGCATTTATTCATTTTTATATGCGCATTTATTCATTTTTATATGCGCATTTATTCATTCTTATATACGCATTTATTCATTTTTATACGCACATTTATATATTTTTAGATGCGCATTTATTCATTCTTATATGCGCATTCTTTCTAATTTTATTATTAAATTTCTTGATTGATTAAAATATTATTTATCTAATTATTCATTTATCTAGATTTAAATTTAATCATTTATAATTCTTATTAATATCAAATTATACATCCCTATGGATGGAATAGAAAATAGCAGTACCTATCGTAAAACAAGGAAAAATGTTACAAAAGAGCACATTTAAATGCTTAAGCATTTAATTAAAAGAAATCAATCTACAACAAGCATTTCCACTTCTCTTAATTTATCGAAGTGCACAGTTCAAAATTTTGTCGTTAAGTTAAACAGAGGATAATTCGACGACACGACTGCATTCAAGTCGTTTTCTGTTAAAAAACGAGGTAAAAGACTTATAAACTCTCAAATAAAAAGTATTATCGAATTTATACGTCCAAGAAAACATTCTTTGCACGAAAGGAGGAATAAAAAAAAAACATTCTGCAGCAGGCTCCAACATGTCTCACTCTACTATTTCAAGAAAACTCAAACGCTCGGATTAATAGAGGATAATTCGACGACACGAATCAAGGCGCATATAAAAATGAATAAATGCGCATATAAGAATGAATAAAGGCGCATATAAAAATGAATAAATGCGCATATAAGAATGAATAAAGGCGCATATAAAAATGAATAGACGTGCTTATAAGAATGAATAACCCTGTAACTTAGCATTAGTTCTTAGTTTTCGATGATAGTTAATTTAATTTCTTTGTAATTTTATTATTAAATTTCTTGATTGATTAAGTTATTATTTATCTAATTATTTATTTATCTAGATTTAAATTTAATTATTTATAATAATTATTAATATCAATACTTAATAGCTGTGATACTTAAAAGCTATACCATTTAATATAATACTTAATAGCTATACCATGAGAGGCTAGTGCTTGCCTAATAGAAAGACTCCAGTGGAATTTACAATTGTCCATAACAAGCACCGGCGCTTCAACCTTTGCATTCCTAATCGCTGGTGCCACCATTGTAGTTATGAAAGTACAAAATGAATCTGCATTCCAGCCTCCAGCTTTTATTTCATAAGCAAACACTCCCATGTAAAAAGCCGTCGTTTTAAGTATTTTTAACCTCGTTTACCTGGAAATAAGAAAAATTTGTTTTGAAAAAATAAACTGTTTTTTCAAAACAAATTGCTTGATTGATTTTTTTTTTGTTCAAATTGCTTTTTTACAATTGCTTTTGTAAAACGCATATAAGAATGAATAAAGGCGCATATAAAAATGAATAAATGCGCTTATAAGAATAAATAAATGCGCATATAAGAATGAACAAATGCGCATATAAAAATGAATAAATGCGCTTATAAGAATGAATAAAGGCGCATATAAAAATGAATAAATGCGCATATAAGAATGAATAACCCTACAACACCAGCATTGACAATAAAAATATTCACTCATAAAAAAAATGTGTAGGAGGTGCTATATTATTATGAGAAACATTGAAAAAGGTTCTAGCACCAGTATTAAAGTAGTTGAATGGCCATTACCATGTGCAAACAAGTGTTCCTGTTTCTTTAAAGTTTCTGGAAGAAAAGCTAAAAAGTGTAAACCTGGTCGGCTATAATAGCTTAATTGCTAGTATACCAAAACAGACTTTG